TTGGCTAACAACATGGGCATTATTCCGAGGGCTGAATAGGTCGCTCTCTTATGGCCAGGCGCTCAGTGGAGACCTCCTGTCACATGCGAGGGACCACCTCGGCGGCGATTTGCGCATGTGCCAGACGCTCGGCGTGGACGGTGGCCGCTCCATGGCTGCAGCCCAAGTCGGGGCCAGGGCTTTGGCTTGGGCTGGCGAATATCAGGGAGGCGGAGAAGAGGAAGCTGCTGGACCTTGCCATCTCTCAGACGTCCCTCTTCGGCCCGGACATGCAGGCTTTGGGTGCGAGACTGGAGTCTGCAGCCAACGGACTCGGCTAGGCTAGCCCCGCACTTGAGCCCCGAGGCGCGAGGCCCCACCTAACCATCACGGTAGCCGGGAACAGAGGCAGAGAGCGATCGCCCGGGAGGCATCTGACCCGTATCCGCGCTCTGTTGTCCATCGTCCCCCCTCGACGTGGCCCCCGCGGAGTCCAGAAGCCCCACGGGTGGCTCGGCTTGGGAGCAAGCACCCACCGCGAACTCCCTATTGCAGAGGAGGCGGGGTGGAATTTTTCCTTCATAAAGGTCCGGACCGGATTTTCTCATTACTTGTTTCTAGAGGTCTCATTTGGGGGTCTGGTAAATCATGTCAAATAATGTGAATTCTGATTGTGTTACTTCTCGAGCACATAACGTTGCTTCGCTAGGCCTGCCCAGCCCCCAGAGCGGGTTTGCCAGTGCGCTACGCGCGCTACCCCCCCCCCCCCAGCGTCCCGGCCACTCTGATCCCTACTCTGCCTCCCAGAGAGAGGTCAGGCTGGAGGGAGTCTGGTGGTGTAGTGGTGTGTGTGATTCTGCCGAACGCGGGTTAGCATCTCTGAGCTACAAGGCTTAATACGGGGTTTCCACCTCAGGGGCTCGCCCCCCCCTCCCCTGTGAGGCAAGAGCAGAGGGGCGGGCACAGCAGCCGGCGTCACGTGGGCTGAGCATTCCGTACCTTATGACTGTCGGGCTGCAGGACATGTGACCGCCCCCGGCGCTCACGTGTGACGCAGGGTGGTCCCCCCGGCACCATTTCGTCACCCCCCCTCCCTGCGAGGTACACCAGTGAGAGGGCGGGGCCGTGACGTCTCGTGTTCCAGCTCCCGTTCCGCCCCTCACAGGACTTCTACAGCATCGGGATGGATGCAAGGTTTGCTGACAGATCTATGGCTGAGAAAAACATTGCGCAGGGGTTAAGCTCTGCAATTCTCCCGACAGCCACCACCATCGCATGGCGACGGTGACGCTGCGATGTGGGCAGGCTTCACCTCATGTTTCTATCCAGGCGGCGCCACGTCCCGGGGGTCCGGAACGTGGGGCCGGACGGATGTCCAGGGGGGGCCCATCCAGGACGCGTGGGGCCTGGCCCCACGGGTAGCTGCGGAGATCTGGCGAGGTTCGTGCCGTCAGTGGTGGACCTTTCGCCAGTGCAGAAAACGCACAGTGCCCGTCCTGGTTCGCCTTAAGGGCCGCGGGTCGAGCCCGCCTCTTAGGCATGGGCGCTCTGGCTCATTACCCTGGCCAGAGGGCCTGTCTGTGCGCTTTCACACCAGCTGCGTCTTCCTGCGGTCCTGCTGCGGAGGATCGAACAGGAGAGGAGGTAGGTGATCCCTGGTGGACTCCGGACAGTATCAGCAGACGCTGGGTCCCCTTCTGAGGGGCTGGCGGTGATGGAGCCCTGGCCTCCCGGACGAGCAGGGGGTCTAGTCCAGGGGGGGGGAAAACCCTGTTTTCACGCCGATAATCGTCCGCAGGCTCTGGGTTTGGAGGCTGAGAGGCGGACCTCGTTAGACCTGGCGTCTTCCCCTGCGGTGGTGGAGACCATTCAGGGGGCGAGGGCGCCTTCCACTGTGAGGGGCCTAGCACGAGGTGGAGGCCTCTGCAGGACTGGTGTGGTTCTCTGTTCTGGGATCCAGGCGTTGCCCGCTGGAGGGGGTCCTGGGATTCATACAGAATGCTTTTTGACAATGGGAGGGCTGTCGCCACTTGGCGGTGTTCGCGGCAGACATATACATCGGGTCCACGAGGATTGGGGGGGTTCACAGCCGTTTCTCATCCGGTGGTTAAAACGTTTCTGGGGGGGGCGCGAGGAGGAGCCCCGCTCTGAGAACGCCGCCGGTTTGGGGACTCAGGGTGGTCTTAGGGGGCAGTCGTGTCCGCCTTTTGAACCGGCGTCGGAGGCGAGTCCGAGGTTGTCGCTTTTTTAGCGGCCACTCTTGCTGGCCCCCGTTGGCGTCTGCTAAGAGGGCGGGCGACTTGTGTGCGCTCTCTGTCCATGCGTCTTGCCTGTCCTTTGCCGAGGGCGACCTGCATGGTGGTATTGTGGGGACCCAATCCGGCCTTTCTCCCAAAGCGGCATCACGTCGGCCTTTAGGTCGAGGTCATCAGGATTATGGGCGTTCTATCGCCACCGCATGCCTCCCCGAGGAGGAGCGGCGCACCTTCTGTGTCTGTCAGAATGCTGAGGCATTATTGGCCATGACGTCGTCATTCCAGGTTTGTGTGGTCTGGGCACCACGAAAAAGGGGCGCCCCTGCAGTCGGCTCAGCGGCTGGCGCACTGGGTTGCCACGGCTGTGCGGCGGGCGTATCCAGAGCAGGGTCTGCCACCCGGTGGGCTTCAGGTCGGCATTCCCCACACGGTGGGGTGGCGGCCCTCTTCCGGCCTCCTCAGGGGCGTTCGGTCAGGACGTCTGCGTGCGGCTTCTTGGGCGGCGTCCTCTTCTTTCGTCCGGGATTATCTTTTGGAAGTGTCAGGGAGACCGGTCGGTGGCCCATTCCGTGCTGAGTGCAGCGGACTGAGGTTAAACCGTTAGGTCCTCCTCTGAGGGGGCCTTCGGTTGAATTTCCCGCCATGGTTCTGGGAGCTCAGGGAGACGGCATCCTACAGGTTGCGGTACTTGGTTTGTTGTTGGTCGCAGTCAGGTAGTCCACGTCAGTGTCCCACTATCGAAGTACTAAGGGGACGTTAGCACCATGACGTAGAATTAATAGTTACTAATGTAACTTAAGTTCTACGGAATAGGTGCGTGAGTCCCTTAGCTACGAGCCCATCAGGCCAGCCGGCTTGGCGAGTTTCAAGAGGGGGTGCGGCTGTGTGGCAGGGGCGGGCCTTTATAGAGGTGGCGTGGCTTGGTGATGGGAGCAATTATTTTGATCTCTTCGGCGTGTGATGGGGTCACGAGCGATATCCCCACTAGCGAAGTTCCTAGGGCTACCGCCTACCTATTCGTAGAACTTAAGTTACTAGGTAACTATTTACATACGTGCATTTGCTAAATGAATCATTAGCTAGGTGGGACCATTTATTGAGCTTTGCTGTCTCTTCACCGGCCAATTCTGATACAGTGACTCGCATTACCACACGCATGCTGCACAATTCCGTTCTGATATCTCACTTCATTGCTCATCCTTCCTCACTGAGAACAAGACCTAAGTGACTGTTAACTCCTCCACTATGAGGAAGGACACGCTCAGACTCAGATCACACGATAACCAACACGCAACCACGTAACAGGTCCATTTTTTTTAACACACACAAGAAATATTGAAATTCACATTCTGTACAGCTTTCGGCAGATGGCATCTAAATAGCAGTGGTTCTCAAACTTTTTGCACCATGTACCACCTCAGAAAATACGATCCTCTCAAGTACACCAAAAACGACCAAACCACCTATACCGTTGCGTAGTAAGCCTATGTATTCATCAAGAACAAGGCAGAGGTTTCATTCTACAAGATGTATATTTAATATTGTGGAGCCAATTGTAACATTTTACTCATTTTTCAAACAGTACCATACTGTGCTTAAATAATAGGAGAAAGAAAAAACCTAAATAACTGTACTTAAATAATGATTCAATTTAAAATTTTCAATTCTTACAAACTGTAAGCCTTGATCCCCTGTGAATTAAATCCTCGAGTGGGATTGGCCTTCTTTGTCCACAGAGGTTTGGACACGGGTGCACTTTTGTTTATTAGGGCTTGGTCTGATGGCCTCTGTACAGTACTTCTGCATTACTACAAAATGAGATGTTGGTTCATATGGTTTGCGATCAATGATTTTTGTTGTTCTCTGTTCCCTTTGCCCGCACAGGAACTGGAAAATTAACTTTTGTCTATTGTTACGACCCGCTTAGGCCGTAACATAAACAGAAGGGGGAAGAGACAACGGCCTATGTTCCAGAACCCTCGTAGGGGCATTTTCTTGCATACTCTTATCAGAATCAGACATACTTTTTATGCCAAGTAAGTAACAGGAAGTCACTGACTTGGAATTGCTTCGGCTCAGGTTGAACTGTCAGAGGAAATAATAAAATAAACTAAAAATAAAGAATAAAAACACACTTCTATGGATACATTTAAAATTAGAATAGAGTTAACGTTACTATTTTACAATATACAAGTGCACATGGTGCAACACAATGTAAGGTGACAGCAGAATACAGTGAAGTAAAGTGACGTATGATGGGCAGTCAAGTGACTTTTTTAAAGGGCGGGGGGACAGGTTAAGAAGTGTTCAAGAGGTCAAACAGCAGAGGGGAAGAATCTGTTCTTGTGAGGGAGGTTCTAGTTCTGATGGACCGCAGTCTCCTGCTAAGGGAGTGGTTGGATAGGCCATGTGCCGGTGAGAGGGGTCGGCTGTGATACGACCAGCCGGCCTCCTCGAGCTCGGGGGGGACGTACAGGTCCTGCAGCGATGGAAGGCTGCGGCCAATCACTTCCTATGCAGAGCGCACAATGCGCTGTAGTCTCTGTTTGTCCCTGACTGTGGCTCCAGCGATACCACTCCCGGTGACGGAGGAGGTGAGGCTGGACTCGTATGATGGCCCGTGTAGAACCTGCCACAAATCTGTGCAGGCAGCTGGACTTTCCTGAGCTGATGCAGAAGTAATCCTCTGCTGGGCCCTTCTTGATGAGGGAGCTGATGGTCAGCTACTTGAGGGTCCTGGGTGATGGTGGTGCCCAGTGAACGGGGATGGGGAGGTCCATCACGGAAGGTGGGGGCGGGGGGACAGTGCTCTTCCTGAAGGTCAACAATCATTCCACTGTCTTCTGGGCGTTCAGCTCCAGGTTGTTACCACTGCACCAGGACACAAGCCGGTCCACCTCCCTCCTGTAGCGGACTCATCTTTCTTGGAGATGAGGCAAATGAGGGATGTGTCCATCGCGAACTTGAGCAGCTTCACAAGAGTCGTGGTGGAGGGGCGAGTGGTTGGTGTTACAAGGAAAAGAGCAGGGGGAGAAAGAACACAGCCCGGTGGGGCTCCTGTATTTAATAATCGAGAGTCCGAGACATTTTCCCCAGACGCACTCGCTGCTTTCCTGTTGGCAGGAAGTCAGTGATCCACCTGCAGGTGGGAAACGGCAATCGTTTTTGGGGGGGACGCGGGAGAGCTTGTCGGAGCCAGGATGGCAGGATCGTGGTGAAGGCAGAGGCTTAGTCCAGATACAGGACCTGGCGTAGGTCCCGGGAGTCCAAGTGCTGTGGATGTGGTGGAGGGCCAGGTGTTGCGTGTGTTACAGATCTGTTGGCTCTGTAGGCGAACTGCAGGGGGTCCAGGAGGGGGAGGTGATGGACTTGAGATGGAGAGGACAGGCGTTCAAATACTTCATGACGACAGGACGTAAGTGCTACAGGTCAGTTGTCATTGAGTCCTGTGATCCTGGGGCTTATTCGGGACGGGGGCAATGATGGAGGATTTGAAGAGGCCGGGACATGCTGGACTGCAGAGAGGAGTTGAAAAATAGTCAGTGAACAACCCAGGAGTTTAGCTCACTCGCGCAGTGTCTCCGAGTGGCTGGAGACACTTGGTCCGGGCCCGGAGCTTTGCGGGGGTGCAGCCTCAAGAAGAGTTGTTTATATCTCTGTGCGGGGATTGGGCTTTCAGTTCGTCCCTGAACTGATATTTAGCTGCTTTGTAGCCGCAGCGGTCCCCTCCCGAAAGCCGACAAGTATTGGCATCCATCCACCTTACGGCACTTAAGCGTCTATTACGGCCAGGGACTGGCTCTCCACGTGCTGTCCCGGTGTGGCTTCGCACGGGTGGGTGGTGAGGATCCTTCCTCTGCCAGTGTTTATTTCTGCATGCTGGACACGCAACCTGCTAGTGCCTTAGGCAAGGGAAGAAGGGAAGAAGCCCTACCGCATGATTGCGCAATACGATTTAACTGAACTTGAAATGACATTGAAAATGTTCAAAAAGTTGGACATGAACAACTGTGCCTCTTCCTGCGTTCGGGCTTCACGTTCAAAATAGTTTGTTCACCATGTTTTTTCAAGAACCGTAACCGTAATATTTTGCTTGTACGTTGATCTTATAATAGGACATAAATCCCATCACTTGATCACCAGGTGAAAGGAGTGGAGTCAGGACAACTGCCAAATGGCTGACTCAATTTTGGCTTTGGTGACACCCAGTTCACCCCTGCATATAGACGTTGCCTAACCGGACCGTGATCCAACGATTTTTCAGGCGGTTCAGACTCTTTAAATCAGCAGCACCTAGCTTGCTTGGACCAACCTGGTACTTCAAGTGGACCTCCCTCCGCAGCCAACATCAACCAAGGAGACCCTCCTCCCAGCCCTACATATCTCTATACGTATTATAGAGCTCGGTAACTCCGCTAGGAGTGCTTTCAACTAAGTTATTTCACTGACTAAGAAAACCAATGAGAGTTCAACGTTTGTTCCAGTCCTCAACTGAACCACGTCGACGTCTCCCAAACCCAGAGATGAACTGTGACAATTCTGCACAAGAGTTAGCTGTACCAGAAAGCAAAGGATACACTACAGGATAGCACTTGCTTTGAAAACCAGTCCAGTAATCTGGTAATTGTATGTGACTTTTATTTAGGACTCCCTTGAAAAAGAGGTCCTTAATCTCAATGGGACTTTCCTGGTTAGAATCACAGCCCCCCCCCACCCCCCCCCCCCCCCCCCCCCCCCCCCCCCCCCCCAACACCAAACAAAAAAATAATAATATTATATTATATATATATATATATATATAGTATTAGGGGGCTGTCCAAATTATCGCGTTAGATTCACGTTACATTACCGTTTCATTAACGCGTAAAAATATAAATAACGCATTATTGCCATTGGGTCCAATATGTTGGTTGTACCCAATAAGTAGAAGGTTGTGAGCAGTTCAAACAGAATTATAGCAGAGGCTCGGGGAAGACTGCGGTCACAGAAACTAGGGAACTCAAGAGACAAGGGGACGAGTCCAGGAACAAAAATTCAAATGTAGTGACACGGAAAAACCATAGAGAGGGCGCCACACAGACGGTTTAGGCTCAAAAGTGAGATTTTAATAATTTGGATAAAAATGTCAAATATATGACCAGGACAGGTAGGGAGCATCTATAGGAAACATATTTAGGCAGTGTTATAAGTAAAAAAAGTTGATTTGGTGTTTAGTTACTCTTTAAGTAACAGTTGGCTAAGGAAATAAAAAATGTGTCGATTGACATTTGAAAATCTCATTCAACTTCATTTGGAGTGGTTTGAAATAGAAATGTTAAAAATGCGATTAATCGTGAGTTAACTCACCATTACTATCATTAATCAACTAAAAAAATTTATCGTTTGACAGCCCTAAATATATTATAGATTTATATATATACTATTTATATATATAATCTCTATATATTTTATTTTTTTCATTTTTGCATACCACTAGAGGGAGCCACGCGTACCAGTGATTTACGCGATACCACTCTTTGAGATCACTGAACTACGTCAATACAGACAGACAGACTGGACTATACAGTACAGGACCAATATGTTTGGATGCTTGTCATTCATGAGTTGTAGATTCAATCTCCTGCCTGTGTAAGGGCTGTTTACCCGGCCCTCCCCTGTCACCAGACCTGTGGAGGCATCCAGATGGTTTTGTGATGAGTTGGACCAGAGGAAGGTGAAAGGGGCAAACAAATGCTAAGCATCTCAGGGATCTCCTTCAAGACTGATGAAGACTTTTCTAATCATACTCTTGAAGCTCATCATGAGAATGCCCAAGAGTGTGGAAGCAGAAATAGGAGCCAAACGGTGCTACTTTGAGAGAACTTAGAATCTACGACATATTTTCAGTTGTTTCATACTTTTTTACTTAAGTACATACATAATTCCACATGAGTTATTCATAGTGTTGATGCTTCAGTGTGAATCGACAATTTGCAAGTGAAAATAATGAAAATATGAAAAGAAAAACAATCTTGAATGAGAAGGTGTGTCCACTTTTTTTATAACAGATGTCAAATGGCTTTCATATTTAATTCTCTCCTTCAGATAGGGAAGAGGAGTCCGAATATGTTATACACTTCTGAACTACCCACCATTATCACAAGCTAATACAAATTCTTTAAGCATATAGCTTAAACATACTTGTAAAAAAAACTTATAATGTTTGTATGTTTTATATTTTGATGTAATTTTTTAGTGTGTGTATGTATGTAACATCTCTGTATGCTATCTCTTCAAAAGTTAATTTGTCCAACACATTGATTAAACATTGTTACTCTAAATAAAAGTGTTGTGAGACACCGTCACCTATTCCCGAACACACAACACTGGACAACAAGCAGCAATCAAGCTACTAAATCCATTTTTCTCATTTATTGAGAAGTAATTATAATTCTTTTTTTTAAATATCTTTGATATTCTTTCTAATATAATTTTCCCCAGTTTACCAGACGGAGGTGCAAGTTTCCCCGTGCAAGCACATTCAGGCCAGAAAGCATCACTTTCCTCCCCCCCCCCCACCCTCCCGGACAAGGGCCATCCCCCAGACTGTGCTCACAAAGCTGGGCACCCAAGGCGAACGCCCAACCACACCCAGCATCAGCACGCAGCACAGCAACATGGACCTTTATGAACGTCCGGACCAGGGCATGTCAGGTGAGCACAGAAAGTCACAGGGTGCACCAGCGGGACATGTCCCAAAGTGAAGCAGACTGACCCAAACATGATGTGGTTATGTCGGATGGACTAGTAAACAATGAGTGGGAATGACTCAAGGAGATACTGTTGGATTTTGTGTATTCTAAAGTCTAAACCAAGTATCCCAAATAAAAGTGATCTAAAAATAATAAAACTAAAATAGCCTACTTTGAAAACCACAAAAATTTAATAAATCCTTAGTTATTGTTTCTCTTCTCAAATCTTTACTTCCATCTGATAGGTTTTCACCTGTTATGTATTTTTGCCTCTTTCTACACCTTGTACTTTGCCTTTTTCAGTGAAAAAGAGACGTACCTCTCTAAGCCCAATCAGCTCTCAGTATGTAAAAAAAAGACAGCATGTTTTCTATAGATGAAGACAGCATGTTGTGTTCTGATTTGTTCACAAAATGTTACTTAAACCAAGGAATGATTGGACTATTAATAAAGGTTTTGGGGGGCAAAGGAAGAAAATAGAGACAACACAATAAATATGTTTGCCTTTATGTTTTGTGTGCAGCAAGCAGATGGAAGCGCAGCATCAGCCAGAGGCCTCCTCCAGCCCCATACCCCAGACCTCCCCCTGTAAGGCACCGCGCTGCCGAGCTTGTACCAGTACATTGGTCAGGACACCGATGAGATCAGCTTCGAAGTCAATGACGTCTTTGAACCTGCTCAAAGAAGGTAAGTAAGGTTTGACTACCATGGATTGAAAGCATTTTTCTTAAAGGGGTTCTACCCCCCGCTACTCGGAGCTTACGTTCACTCACTTTTCCTGTTCAAAATCTTCTCTAAATGGGCGTAGCATGGAGGACTATAAGGGGGCGTGAACGAGACTGGGCCGTTTACATTGCTCTCGGGGCGGGGGCGGCTGAGTCAGGTTCCAACTTCTTATGCAGTGTTGGCGCCAGATTTCAAAATTCAAATGTAGTATTACAGGTCGCCTAGCAGATGGCGACTCACAGACGTTTTTAGCAGAAAGTTTGACTATCTCTTCTTTTCCTCCTGGCCCTCCTGTTATGTTTGCTTGTATGTTTGATGTTTGTTTTTCTGGTTTATTCTTTGATTTGTTGTTTTTTTTGTATCTTTTCGTTTGGGTTTTGCTGATTTACTTTTTTTTCCATTCCGTTATTTTTTTTTCATTTTGGTTATTTCTTTTTTTTTTTTTTTCTTGCCCTTTTTTTGAGGCGCTTCATTCGTTTTTCGATTCTTTATTTATTCTTTTTTTGTTTGTTTCGGCCTTTTCTGGTTTCCTTTTGTGTTTTTTTCTTTGCGTTCTGTTTTCTGTTGGGGGGTTCCTTGTTTGCTTTCTTTTTGGTTTTTTGTTGATTCGTTCCGATTGTTTGTTGCTATGTTGAGAGAGATAGTCAGAATTTTCTGCCTAAAACCGTCTGTGAGGACGCCATCTGCTGGCGACCTGTATTTACTACATTTTCGAATTTGGATATCTGGCGACACATGCAAGAAGTTGCGGACCTGACGTCAGCCGCCCACCGACCAGAGCAATGGTAACGGGCCCAGTCTAGTTTCACGCCCCCTTTCGTCCTCCAGGCTACGCCCATTTAGAGGAAAGATTTGAACAGGAAATGTGAGTGACGTAAGCTCCGAGGAGCGGGGCGGGGAGAACCCACTTTATGAAATGATTTCAATCCCATGGTTGTCAAACCTTCCTTACTTCTTTGTGCAGTTCAAAGACGTCATTGACTTAGAAGCTGATGCTCATCGGTGTCCTGACCAATGTATGGTACAGAAGCTTCTGCAGCGCGGTTGCCACAGGGGGATGCTGGGGTTTGGGGGCTTGGAGGAGGCTCTGGCTGATGTGCGCTTCCTTGCTATTCGGCCACACAAAACATAAAGGCAACATAATTTATTGTGTTGTCTCTATTTCTTCTTTTGCCAAATCCTTTTATGTAATAGGTCTAATCATTCTGTTTAAGTAACATTGTGTGAACAAAGCAGAAACAAATGCTGTCTTCATCTGATAGAAAACAATGCTGTCTTTACAATACTGAGAGCTTGATTGGCTTACTTAGAGAGTACTCTCTTTTATCACTGAAAAAAGCTAAGTTAAAGGTGTGAAAGACGGCCAATATTTCTTTACATGTGAAAACTATCAATGGAGAGTAAAGAGTTTTGCGAGAGAGAGAAAACTATAACTATGGATTTATTAAATTTTTGTTATTTTTGGTTTCAAAGTTAGGAATTTTAGTTTTATTATTTATTAGGATCACTATTTTATTTGGATTCTTGTAGACTTAGAATACAAAATATCCAACTTGTAACTCCTATGAGTCATTCCCACTCATTGATACTAGTCCATCGACATAACCACATCATGTGTCAGTCTGCTTGCACTTTGGACATGTCCCAGCTGGTGCTCTGTGATCAGTTCTCCCCTGAACTTGCACTTGTCCGGGAGTTCATAAAGTCATGTGCTGAGCTGGTGCTGCTGATGCTGGGTGAGGTTGGGCGTTCTCCTTTGGGGGCAACCAGCTTGGGGAGCACAGTGACTGGGGGATGGCCGGGTCTGTGAGGGGTAGGAGTAAGTTGATGCTTTCTGGCTGTAGTCGTGAGTGGCCACTGGGAAACTTGGCACTCCGGGTGCTGGTAACTGGGAAAATTAATTAGAAAGAATATTTAAAAGAGATTTAAAAAAAGAATTATAATCTTACTTCTCAAATAAATGTTTGGAAATGATTTGTAGCGTGGATTGCTGCTTGTTGTTGTGTTGTTGTTGTTCGGATGGGACGTGTCTCCACAAAATTAATTTAGGTACAATGTTTAATCATGTGTTGGACAAAGTTAAACTTTTGAAGGATTGCAATACAGAGATGTTACATACTACACACTAAAAAATGAACAAAAAAAATATAACAAATACAATCAGTTTAAGTTTTTATTTACAAGTATGTTTAAGCTAGTATGCTTAAGACTTGGTAGTAGCTGAGATAATGGTGGGTTGTTCTAGAAAGTGTCTTCTAACCGATAGTTAGTTCTCTCTTGCCATCTGAGGTGAGAAGTATTAATGAACGCCATTGACAATGTATAAAAAAAGTTGGGGACACACCTTTCATTCAAAAAGATTTGTTTTTATTTTCATATTTTCATTATTTTTCACTATGAAAAATTGTAGATTCACACTGAAGGCATCAACACTATGAATTAACTCATGTGGATTTATGTATTTGTACTAAGTAAAATAGATGAAAAACAACTGATAATACGGTCTTATTTTCTAAGTTCTTCAAAGTAGCACCTTTTGCTCTGATTACTGCTTCGCACACCTCTTGCCATTCTCGTGATGAGCTTCAGATAGGTAGTGATTGAAAAGGTCTTCCACGTCTTGAAGGAGATCATGAGGGATGCTTTTGCATTTGTTGGCCTTTCACCTTCAATTCTGTGGTCCAATCATCACAAAAAAACCATCTGGTTGCCTCCACAGTCTGGTGACTGTTGGAGGCTGGTTAACAGCTCTCTTACACTGGTGAGAGTGAAACCTACAACTCATTTGAATTTGACCAAATGCATCCAAACTTTTTGGTCTGTACTGTATATGTCACGTCTGTTGTCTGTATTGACGTAGTTCAGTGATTCTCAAGTGTGTGTTACGCGTAAGATCACTGGTACGCGGGGGCTCCTTCTTGTGGCGTATGCAAAATGATAAAATAAAAATAAATATATATATATAGGTATAGTATGATATACTTACTTTATACTATATATATATATATATTAGGGCTGTCAAACAGTATTATTTTTTTTAGTGATAAACGCTAGTAATGGTGAGTTAACTCTGACGATTAATCGCCATTTTTTATCATTCTATTTCAAATCCATCAATTGAAGTTAATATGTGATTTTCAAAAGTAATGACACATTTTTATTTTCATCCAATGTACTTAATGAAGTAAACTAAAACACCAAATCAACTTTTTTTTACTTATACACTGCCTAATATGTTTCTATAGTGCTCCGTACATGTCCTGGCATATATCTGATCATTTTAATCAAATAGTTATATCTCACTTTTGAGCCTAAACGTCTGTGTGGCGCCCTCTCTATGAGTATAGTTTTCCGTTTGTCACTACATTTGAATTTTGTTCTGGGACTCTCCATTGGCTCTTGAGTTCCTAGTTTTCTGTGTCGCAGGTCTTCCCGAGCCTCTGCTATAAGTATGTTTGACTTGCTCACACCTTCTACTTTTGGGTAAACCAACAAGAGTTGACCCCCCCCCCCCCCCCACGTCAATGGCAGTTAATGCGTTAAGTATTTTTTTAAGCGTTAATGAAACCGGTAATTACGTTGAATTATACTGCGATAATTTGGACAGCCTAACTATATATATATATATAGATATATTATATATATATTTATTATTTTTTTTACTTTATTTAACAGGAAAGTCCCATTGAGATTAAGGACCTCTTTTCAAGGGAGTCCTATAAAAAGTCACCATACAATTACAGATTACGGACTGTTGTCAAAGCAAGTGCCATCCTGTTGTGTATCCTTTGATTTCTGTACAAGCTAACTCGGTGGTGCAGGTATTGTCACAGTTCATCTTGGTTTTTGTTTTACGGAGACCGGTAGAGTTCAGTTGGGACGGGGAAGCAAAACTTGAATTCTCATTTGTTTCTTAGGTCGTGAAATACACTTAAGTGAAAGCTATCCAGCGGATTGTTACGATCTCTATACTTACTGATATAGAGATGGTAAGGCGCTGGGAGGAGGGTCTGCCTTGGTTGATGTTGGCTGCGAGGGAGGTCACTTGAAGTCCCGGGGTTGTCCAAGCAAGCTAGTGGCTGCTGAGTTTAAGAGTCTGAAACCGCCTGAAAAATGTTGGATCACGGTAACGGGTTTAGGCAACGTCTGTATTCGAGGGAAACTGGTGTACCAAAAGCCAAGTGCGTCGCCATTTGGCAGTTTGTCCTGAGCTTACAATCCTTTCAGCTGGTGATCAAGTGATTGCTTTATGTCCTATTATAACATTAACATTACAAGCAACATATTACGGTTACGGTTTGCAAAAAACATTCTGAAACCAAAACTATTGATCTTGATGCCGAAGCGCAGGAGAGGACACAGTTGTGTCATGTCAACTTTTTGGAACATTTTCACTGTCCAGTTTCAAGTTCAGTTTAATCGTGGATGCGCAATCATTGCGGTAGGGCGTTCTTCCTTCTTCCTCTTGCCTATCACTTAGCAGGTCGGCGTGTCCAGCTTTGCAGGAATAACACTGGCAGAGGATGGATCCTCACCACCCACCGTTGCCTAAGCCACACCGGGGACAGAACGGGTTGTGGAGAGCCTAATGTCCTGGGCGTATTAGACGGGTAAAGGTGGCCCTGTAAGGTGGTTGGCTGCCATGTCATGTCGGCTCTTCAGGTGGAAAAGGGGGGACCGCAGCGGACTACCAAAGCAGCTAAATTTCAGTTCAGGGACCGAAACTGAACGCAGCCAAGTCCCGGCAACAGAGATATTAAAAACTCTTCTGAGGCTGCACCCCGCAAGCTCCTTGCCCGGACCTGAGTCTCCAGCCACTCCTGAGAACAACTGCGCGGAGTGAGCTATCTCTGTGTTCACTGACATTTTCAATCCTCTCTGCAGTCCTGCATGCTCCCGGCCTGCTTCAAATCCTCCATCATTGCCCCCGACCCAAGAAGGAAAGAAACCGGATCACAGGAACTCAATGACTACAGACCTGTAGCCACTTACGTCGTCGTCATGAAGTATTTGACCGCCTGGTCCTCTCCCATCTCAGAGTCCATCACCTCCCCCTCCTGGCCCCCCTGCAGTTCGCCTTCAGAGCAAACAGATCTGTAGACAACGCCATCAACAGGCCTCCACCAATTCCTACTGCACTGGACTCCCGGGGCCTTACGCCAGGGTCCTGTTGTGACTTTGAAGCTTGCTTCAACTCGATTCTGCCATCCTGCTACAGACAAGTCTCCCAGCTCAACGTGCCGTTTCCACCTGCAGGGGGATCCCGGATTCCTGACAGACAGGAAGCAGCGAGTGCGTCTGGGTGAAGAAGGTCTCGGACTCTCTGATTATAAAATACAGGCGCCCCACAGGGTGTGTTCTTTCTCACCTGCTCTGTTTCCTGTCCACCAACACTGCACCTCCAGCCACGGACTCTGTGAAGTGCTCTAGGTTCCGGATGACACTCCCTCATTGCACTTCATCTCCAGAAGTTGAGTCCGCCTACAGGAGGAGTGGGACCGGCTGGTGTCTGGTGCAGTGGGTTAACATACTGGAGCTGCAACGCCCGAAGACAGTGGAGATGATTGTGGACTTCAGGTAAGAGGCATGGTCCCCCCGCCCACCCTTCCGTGATGGACTCTCCCCTTCGTTCCTGGGCACACCTTCACCCAGGACCTCAAGTGGGAGCTGACCATCCAGTCCACTCATCAAGAAGGGCCCAGCAGAGGATGTTACTTCTGCAGCAGATCAGGAAAGCCAAGATGCATGCACCGATGTTGGGTGCAGTTCTCACGCGCCATATCGAGTCAAATCCTCACCTCCTCCGTCACCGTTGTGGTTCGCTGGAGCCACAGTCAGGGACAAACAGAGACTACTGCGCAGTGTGCGCTCTGCAGAGGAAGTGAATGGCCGCAGCCTTCCATCGCTGCAGGTCTTACTGTTAGTTCCGAGATCGAGGCGGGTCTGGTCGTATCACAGCCGACCCCCTTCACCCTGCACATGGATTTCCAACCACTCCCTTAGGCAGGAGACTGCGGTCCATCAGAGTGACTAGAACCATCCCGTCACAAGGAACAGTTCTTCCCTCTGCTGTGGACTCTTGAACACTTCTTAACCTGTTCCCCGCCCTTTATAAAGTCACTTTACTGCCCATCATTACGTCACTTTACTTCAATGTACTGCTGTACCTTAACATTGGTGCACCATGTGCACTTGTATATTGGTAAATAGTAACGTTAACTTATATTCCTACATTTAAATGTATTCCTGTGAAGGGTTTTTATTCTTTATTTTTATTTTTTATTATTTCTCTCTGATGTTGCACTGAGCCGAAGGCAATTTCCAAGTCTGTGACTTGCATGTTACTACGTCGGCAATAAAAAGGATTCTGATTTCTGATATTAGTATGCAAGTAATGCCCCTACGAGGGTCTGAACATTGGCCGTTGTCTCTTCCCCTTCTGTTTATGTTACGGCCTACGAGCCGGGTCGTAACAATATTACACAAAGATATTTTTCCCAGTTTGTTTTTTTGCGGGCAAAGGGAAACAGAGAACAACAAAAAGCTTCATTGATCGCAAAACACATATGAACCAACATTCTTTGTGTGAGTAAATGGCGATGTATGTAAGAGGCAGCAGACCAAGCCTAATAATCAAAGTGCACCGTGTCCCAAACCCTCTGGGATGGACAAGAAGGCCATCCCCTCGAGGAGCTATTCTTCAAAGTGGGGTCAAGCTTACAGTTTGTACTGATGAAAAATTAAATTGAATCATTTTAGAAGTACAGTTTTTAGTTTTTTCTTCTCTATATTTATGCCAGTTGTATGTTG